TTCACTGTGGTGATGTTAAATACATCATATGTTGCTATGGTAGCTGGTCTTTTGATTGAATCCAGAGCAATGCAAAAGCTAAAAAAAAAAAAAAAAGAAGTAGTGCATATTGGACTCAGGCAGACCCCAAGGTCATGTTCCTTGGTGTTATCTTCATCAAGGATGATATTCTTCAGTCTCCTGGGGAACTGAAATACTTAATTACTGAAAGGTAATTGTGTGATCACTGACAGGGACCTCTTGAGCAGTGAAGTTATGTATGGGCAGTTGTCATCTCAGATTAACTAGGGTCACTAGAAACATAGCCAGAGTTTCCATAATAATTTTTGTGACTCATAGCAACTCCAAGCAATTGTCTAGATGGAACTTTGGATAGGGCCTCAAGTGCTTTATAAAGATTCTGCTCATTATATTAAAATACATCTTTATTCTGCTTCCCATAGAGGCCGGTGGGAATATCCCTCCTTCTTTGGGATGGAAGAGAGTCATTTGAAGGGAGGTTATCTCCCAGGGGCATTCTTTGGCTGTAAAGCTCCAGTCTTAGCTGGCCCCATCCTGAGTGAGCCTGATCTCTATCTCCATGGCTTTTCCCTTGCTTCAGTTTTCTGGCCTGAAGATTATAAGGATCTGTGCCCATGGAAAGGATCAGCAGGAAATCTGCCCCAAGCCAACTCACAGTGTAATATAGAGACAATTACTGATAAGGTGAGGGTGACTCAGTCTATGGCATCAGGAAACAACCCACTTAAAGGGTAACAAATGTAAAATGATCTGTAACCTGGAAGTTTTAACTTCAGAGAGTCTGTTAAAATGAGAGGAGATCATACACTGATAATAGTATGACAAGTACAAACAGATGTAATCTACAGAAGAGACATGAAACAGAAATTCCCCAGCCCTCCTTGGTTTTCATCCTCAATCTTCAGCTCCCTAGTCTGTTACTGGGGCCACTCCAGCAGGCCTCAGAGGCCGAATCTGAACCTGTTCTCCAGGATGTCCCCTGACAGTAAGCAAGAGGAGCTTACGGCTCTCTTGTCTGAGGATCCGTTACAGATTAACTATGCAGTCCACATGGTCTCGACGGGCACCTTGGCAGAGTGGTTACTGTCATGAGTTCTAGAGTTAAATACTGACTTCCCCACCTGCCCTGTGACCTTGGGCAGCTCATTTAACTTTTCTTTGCCTCCTCTTCCTCATCTATGAAATGGATGTGAGTGGTTGTGCAGATTAAGTGAGCAAATATACATAAATCATATGGTGGAATAGCGGACATTTGGTGAGTGTTGATAAAAGTTAACTCTTCTTTTTTATAATTCTATTCTTTTTTAATTTTTGGCTGTGCTAGGTCTTTGTTGCTGTGTGGGCTTTTCTCTAGTCATGGAGATCTTCCTGGACCAAGGATCAAACCCTTGTCTCCTGTATTGGCATGCAGATTCTTTACCACTGAGCCACCAGAGAAGCCCCCAAAATTTAGCTGTTCTTAACACCATCATCATCATCATCACCCCAGGCATCTATGTTCCTCTCCTGTACCGTAATTCTGTCTCAATAACCCACTTCCATATCTGGACTCCGTGAGGCTTTCATTTTTCTGACCAGGTCTCTCCCCTCCTCAGGAAGTAGTGTTCTGACTTTCACTGACAACTCACCTGGCATCCTGTGGGTCATCTCTCAGGGCACCTTGTTAACCTCCTGCTGCATCTTCCCATGCCAGGTGATCACTGGTTACCACAGTCAATCTCTGGGCTCATCTGCTTCCTGGTAACCACAGGTGGATTTGCTGTTTTAGCACCTGACCCCTCACTGTGGGTCAGAAGTCACTTTAAGCACCCTGGCCTCAGGAGGTAGCTGGGGCCACACTCAAATATAAAGAACTTGTTGATCTGAGATAGGGTATCCTGAATGACCTATCACAGGTGGCTGGTAGACTTGGCAGATGCATATGGATATAATAAAAGCACCAGGCATTAGCATTAAAAACCCTGCAAAAATGTTAACAGTATTGAGCCGTTCCAGCTTTGCATGGCTATGTATTTGGAAGAGCTCAATAGTGATACATTTGTATTACATAAATGTTAAATATTGCAGAAAAACTAGATAATACAAATAAACCGAGTTAATTGTAAAAAGAAAACATCTATAACCCATCTTCCAGGGATAACCATTTTAATCTCTCTCACTCTCTCCACACACACAGACCTCCCCCGCCACCACACACACACATAATCACTTTTTTTCACTTAGTAGATTGTGGACTGCTTTCCATGTCATGAAATATACATTTAGATTATCAAGCATCAAATAATTCAAAATGATTCTGAAGATGTGTTGTTTCGTGGTCCAGCTTTTTGGCACTATTTTGTTGCCAAATGATAGTGGTGATGATGATGTTAAAAATAGCTAAACTTCTGGGTTTCCCTGGTGGCTCAGTGGTAAAGAATCTGTCTGCCAAGGCAGCAGAGAAGAGTTTGATCCCTGATCCAGGAAGCTCTCTGCAACTAGAGAAAAGTCCACACAGCAACAAAGACCCAGCACAGCCAAAAATAAAAAAAGAATAAGATTATAAAGAGGTTAAACAGCCTGGCTGAGTTTTTATGGTGTACAGCTTCTGATGCTGGTAACTGCCACCAGGTTAATTAGGGTGGCTCCTGGCTGGAGTCTCATTCAGAGCAGCTTGGCTTTATGTAGGCGTGGTTATTTGGGGAACAGGGCTTTTGGCCCATTTGTTCTAGTCTCTTTCCATTACGAAAACCTGCCACCCAGCAGTGGATCTCAAGTTTCTAGTGATGGCCAGGGTGGGTGTTCAGCATTCTGGGCTCTGTCTCTATGTCACTGTGGGATGTTTGGCAGGGTGACCCATCTCTCCATGCCTCTGTTTCCTCATCTTTAAATTAAAGGAGTTGTACTTGCTTTTCTTCCGCTCTCACACTATGATTGCATGTTAAATCATTTGGAGTGTGATTGAGGCCTGGGAGTGGCTCTTACTTGTGGCTGCATAATCTGGTGCCAGGCTAGCTGGCCCAGGATCACCAGAGGGGAGGCACTCCAAGTGTAGATGCCTGGCCCTCTTCCTTATCCTCCACTGGGGTGAAGCCTGAGAATCTGTATTTTTAACAATCCCCTTACCTAGTCTTTCTCACTGAAAGGATGGTGCCTGCTCCTAAGCTGCCCAGCTGATCTCATCCTAATTGAACTCTTGTTCTGGCCAAAGGTTTGTAAAAAGCATCTTAACCCCAAATCCTTCATGGAGGCAGCTGGTTTTGCTGGAAGCCTACACGGTTCCGGGACCGCCAGCAGCTTGGCTTCCACAGCCCCTGGAGACAGCTTTCCCCAGCCTGTCAGCTTCTCACCCATTGTCAGAGCTCAGCGCACCCTGCCCAACCACCTGGCCCCCTTCTCCCAGCCCAGATTCCATCATGTTCTACTTCACATGGTTTCTTGTTCCATATGGTTTGGCTCAGGCTGCAGTAGGGTTATGACCACCCTGCGTGTTTGTCCCAGCAGCCTCCCCCACTGCCCTTCATCAAGCAGGGAATGTTTTTCCTTCCACCTGGTTTCATTCTTCCGTCTGGTCCCTCATCTTCCAGGAGACCTGATGTTTCTGATACATACAGTAGATTTCCTTTGAATCCTGTAGGACTTGATCTAATGTATTAGCACTTTACTTCAGAGATCTCTATACAGGGCTTTAAATATATAAGTGGCCGCATTCCTTTCCTGTGTGATTATTAAAATACAGACACACACACATAGGCACACACCCTTCACCTTAGAGTGTACTGGGTTTAAAAAGGTAGAACCTACCTTATCCACAATTTGAATAGGAGATTCTGATCTTATTTCACATTTATGTCCCATTTTACTCATATTCACCATTTATAAATGAGAAAGAAATAAGCCAGAAGCAGCTGGATATTAAACCTGAGTAGACTAGTATATCAGAATCACCTGGATAAATTAACAAACTACAGATTGCTGGACCTCACGCCAGACTCACTGAATCCTTGAGGGAGGGATCCACGAGTCTGCCCTTTCCAGGAGCTCTCTAAATGGTTCTTCTGCAGGCTGAAGGCTCAGATCTCCTGCAGTAGACAGTGAAGAGAATTAGACAAAATAAGATGCACCATCCTGTATTAGACGGTAGAGAGAATTTAGACTGGCAGGCACCCTGGTAGGCACTAGACTTCTTGGGGTTCAATTCAGCCTCTGCCCTCACTGGCTGTGTGACTGCTTCATGCCTCAGTTTGCTCACTAGTAGAAACAAATCTGTAAAAATATCAATAACATTGGTCATCATGAGGATTAAATTAGTTAATATGTGCATACATGCTAAGTTGTCCCAGCCTTATCCAACTCTTTGTGACCTTGTAGACTTAGCCCACCAGGCTCCTCTGTCCATGGGATTCTCTAGGCAAGAATAGTGAAGTGGATTGCCATGCCCTGTTCCAGGGGATCTTCCCAACCCAGGGATTGAACCTGTAGGTCTTACATCTCCTGCACTGGCAGGCAGGTTCTTTACCACTAGCGCCACCTGGGAAGCCCTAGTTAGCATGCTTAAAATAGTGCTGCATGTGGTAAAAGTGGTGTCCGTGTTCGCTGTGAATAGTACCCCATGCACAAGAATGGCATGAGCAAAGTCAAACAGATGCAAATGGGTGGCCTCTCTGAGGGAGGCAAACAGACGTCCTTGTTAAGAGCAGGTTTAGGTTAGTAGTTTTCAAATTATGGTATGCAAAAACTTCCATAAACATGGAACTTCCAAAAACATGGGAAGCATGTTAAAAATGTAGTGTCCTTCCAAAGATTTGATTTAGTAAACTTGGAGTGAAGCTTTGGGATCTGCACTTAAAATTTTTGATGTAGGTGATCAGCACATTTTTAGAAACCCAGGTTTCAGTGGGGAAGTACAGGCATTTACATTAGGTGAGGCCTCATGGGATTTGGCTTGGGCCATGAAAAGATATGGATGCTAATTGCATATTTAATATCTGCTTTATTAGGTGTGTCCAGAAAGCAGTAGAAGTATCTGGGAGGTACAGTGTGCATCCTACAACAACAAGCCGTTCATGGGCCGTTTTTATGAATGGGAACCATTTGCAGAAGGTAAGAGTAGCCCCAGTCCTGTCCACAGGAATCAGTTTTGTCTGTTCTCCAACCCTGTTGCCTTTTCGTTGTTGCTGGAGGAACTGGTGTGATGCTGGCTAGAGTGGCATGCAAGGAGGAGCTGGTAGGGGTCTTTATTGAAGGTAGTAATAGCTCTCAGGTGACAGTTGGACCATTAGTCAGATGGGAGAGGCTTTGATTGGAGCAAGCAGCATCTGAGGATGGCAGGATGAGTGAGACAGAACAAGGATCGAGAAATGAGTAGAAGCAAGAGATTCAAGCTAAACCTGTGAGGAGTGAGGAAGGGTAGTTTCCCTTTTCCTTGGTTCCTGCTGCAAGGGCTGGTATAATGGCTTAAGAGAGCATGTAGAGTTATAGGACTGACAGCTGTTTGGCTTTTGTGCTGGGGGAGCCTCGAATGCAGTTTCCAAAGAGGAAGTGTGGTAGGCAACCATTGCAGAGCTCGTCAGTACTGTTCTAGATCTTGGAGTCACTTTCCTTTGCTGTTTGTTTTGTTTTGATGAGGACCATTTTTAAAGTCTTTATTAAGTTTTTGCCATGTTGCTTCTGTTTTATGTTTTGGTTTCGGGGCCATAGTGAGTTGTGCTGATTCCGTTACAGAATCTGTGTCCATACGTGAGAAGTTGTGCCTAGGTGTAAGGCCATGGGAAGAGGGAGGCAGGGTGGATGTCTGCTCTGAAATGGGATGCAGAATTATTTTTGTCTGCACATTTGTCTCAGAGAAGTGTCTGTAGCTTGGATTGGATTCTCAAAGTGGTCTCATGACCACTGCCCATTAGAATCACTGGGGAGCCTTCTAGAAATACTGAGGCCTGGGTATCACTCCCAGAGATTGTGATTTAATTGATTTGGGGTGCAGCCTGGGGATGGAGATTTTTTTTTTTAAGATCCCAAGTCATTCTGATGGACAGCTGGGGTTGAGAAGCTCTAATCCAAGAGGGAGGCAGGATCTCAGAAGAGGTGGTGACTCTGGCTTAAATTAAGGCACAGAATCATAAGTGCTTTGTAAACCGTGAAATATATTCTTATGTCAGGGCAATAGTACTTGGCAGTGAGCACTTGGAGAGTAACCCTTTCTTTTGTCTGAGCTGCATCCTTGCTTTTTTGTTGGCTGTGGGTAGTAACAGCTGCTTTACCGTGGTTCACTGGGAGGCAAGGTGAATTCCTCCAGCCATGCCCTGTCTGTCCCCATTGTTTACCCCGAAGCTGGAGCCACATCACCCAACCCTCTCTGCTTAGTTCCACGTGGTCCTCTGCCAGCCACCTGATCCTGTCAAGCCTGGTAGACTCAAGTCTAGTATCAAAAGCTCTTCGCACCCCACAAAGAAAACTCATGCCGATATTTTCACCTATTATCAGTATTGCCTGTGGATGCCGGCTGTTGCCTATGTATGATTCTACTTTTTCTGTCCTTTCGTTTGCCCTGTCTCAGGCTGGACTTTAACTGTGAGTCCTCAGGTAGGAGGGGGGTAATTAACATCTGATTCAACTTTGTATTTTGGAAAATTTCAAACATATGTAAAGACAGATAGAATAGTATAATCATATGATAATAACCTCCTATATACGCATCACTTAGTTTCAACTCATGGCCAGTCTTTTTCATGTATAGTCCACCTGTTCATCCCCATCCAAATATGGCAAACTATTTGGATTCACATTATACAGCATTATTCACTGGTGCATATATTGATTAAAACTCTTGGTTGTAAGTGATGGAAACCCAGCCTACCTATATTTAAACAAGAAAGATACTTTGTTGGTCCTGTTACTGGGAAGTCCAAGAGAGGGGCTGGGATTTAGATGTGGCTGCATTCCAGGGATTCAATAACATTAGGAGCCTGCTTTTCTCTTTTTCTCCATCTCTTGTTCTGTTTACTTACTTCTCAGGTGGATGGACAGGCTAACATGGCTTTGAACTTGCAATCATAGTAAGGAAGACTCTTATCTAGTGTTATGGGTTGAATTATGTCCCCCAATTTTTCTATCCCTGGTACCTATGAATTTACTTATCTGGAAATAAGGTCTTTGCATGTAATTAAGGTTCAGGTTAAGAAGAGGTCATACTGGATGAGGGTGGGCCCTTAATCCAATACGACTGGTATCCTTATATAAAGAGAAGAGACACAGACACACATATGGAGGACACCCAGGCACAGACAGAAGAAAGATGGCCATGTGACACCAAGGCGGAGCTTAGAGCGATGCAGCTACAAATCAGGGAACACTAAGGGTTTTTGGAAAATGCCAGAAACCAGGAGGAGTAACAGAAAGATTCTTCCGCAGAGACTGCAGAAGAGCAAGGCCCTGCCAACACCTTGAGTTTGAATTCCCAGCCTCCAGAACTGTCAGAGAATAAATTCTGTTGTTTTAACCCACCCAGTTTGTGGTCATTTTTTATGGCAGCCTAGTAAACTAATATGCTTAATGAGGGCTTTGGTCTCAGAAAAACCACACTGTGATCTTTTTTTGGGTCATATTCCCATCCCTGGACGTGAGTTCAGGGCCTAGGTTGGGGGCAGTGGTCCTTGGGTTAACTCAGGTCATGTGACTAGCTCTCTGGTGGGAAACCCACATCCCAGGAAGTGGAGGTGGGAAAGAGGGAATTGGGACAGACAGAAAAACAGAATCTTCTACAGTAACTTTATCTACTTCTTCACCATAAGCCACTGAAATTTTAAAGGAGCCAGTGAGAATCCTGGTGTTTTACGAAGAAAAGAAAAGTGCAGAGCAGCAGCAGATTAAAGAAATCAACCGTCTTCTGCACTGTGTTTGTTACTTTGTCTAGAAAATTTAGCATTCTTTAAAAATATTTACTGACATTAATGTGTCTCACATGCCTAGGAGAGGATCCCAGAGTCACTGAAACTGCATTTACTTTGGCTTTCTTTAAACAGTTCTTCTTGCTGCTAAGATTGTTTTCTTGATTTTGTCCTTTTTCCTCTTAAATGACTCCCAGGCTGACCAGTGGGAGGAAGACGCTGTTAATGTTTCTGCAGGGTGTTCATATTTTACGGCTGGATTTTGCGTTCAGCTCTTGGTTTTGTTTGGATGTCTGTTGCTATTCACATGTGCCTACTTAGGGGAACAGCTGCACTCATTCAACCCAATGCCACATAGAATAGTAAAAGCAGCGTACACTCTCTGATAAACACATTAATTTCACCACATGCTTCTTCTTAGACCTTTGACTGCATTTCTTGGATATAGTGATCTGTCCTAAGATAATGCCTCTAGGAATTTTTCTCATAGACTTAATACTGTAAAGACGATAGAAGTAGCATTCCAGTGTCTATGTGTGCTTGTTTACTCAGTATAGTGATAGTTCATGTGTCACCCTCGTCCCCCTTCACTCCAAATCACTTTGGACTATAAATCGTATGGTCAATGTAGCTAGAAGAGGACACTTTAATAGGTAGAGTCTTGTTTGGTGCATTGGAGAAAATTGTACCTGTTTTCATAACTAGAATCTAGAGTTGTGACGGGTCACTGCGGGCTCTACCTCAGTGAGTATCAGTCTTAATCCATAAACCAGGGGACAGCTTTGTGTTGGCATTTTAATGCACCATATGACCCCAAGAGCTGAACTAAGCAGAGCACAAATCTAAAAGCCAGAAGTGAGGCTGAGTCAGAACCTGGAGCTTGCCAACTGGTCGTGTGACCAGGGCCAGTGTATCTGTCAGGACTGCATATCTTGAGCTGCAGGAACAAAGAGCCTCTGAGTCCTTCTGACTGAACAGAACAAGTTTGTCTCTTGCTCAGACCACCTGGGTGATGCAGTATGTGTTCTGCTCATTCAGGGTGATAGAAGCAACATCTCAACTTATGCTTCCACTGAGGCAAGGAAAGGGAACAAATGAATCACCTGTGGATCGTTCACGCTTCTCCCAGAAGTGATCAGTGTTGTTTCTGCTCACATCTCATTAGCCAAAGCAAGTGACACATCATTTTTAACTTCAAGGGCAGCAGGGAGGTACCATCCTGCTGTGTGCTCAAAGCAGAAGTGAAATATCTATGACCACCCTAATGACTAGTACAGGCAGGAAGCTTCGAGAGAATTCCCTGAGTGTGTCTTCCTTCTGTAAGTTCGGGGGACTTTTATTAGGCTGCTTGCAAGAAGAGTAGATTTGGTTCTAGGGAATATTATAGGTGACACAGAGTTTCTCACAGTTACAGGGCCCTGAGCCATTTAGACTATTCCTTCTCCTTGATTAAAGCTCCGAGGGGCAGGGATGGAATGTTGGCGCCAAGGAGTGCTGCTGACTCCTCGCAAGTCTAGCCCTGGCACAGACCACATTGGTGTGGGGGTCAAGGACTGTCATAAACATGGACAGTATTATCACAACTGTATGATGTGAGGAAGGAAGGCTTAGGGCCAGGTGCTGGTGGACGTGGGATTAGGATGTTTATGTTTTACTCAAGCAACTTTATTCATTCCTGGAATTCTCCCTCCATCAGCCCGCCCCTCCTGCTCAGACAGTTCATAGTCATCATGGACTTTTCAGAGTGGACAGGGAAGGCCTAAAGGAAAGGAGAGGAGTTTTCCAGTTTTCTGCCCCCCAACAGATCCATGCTAAAGCTCTTTTATCCAGGCCTAGGAATACCTGGCAAGACAAGGCCATGTTTGCTCAGCATTTGAGCGTATCATTGAAGACAAGGGGCTTCCCTTGTAGCTCAGTTGGTGAAGGGTCTGCCTGCAGTGCAGGAGACCCAGGTTCGATTCCTGACTTGGGAAGATCCCCTGGAGAGGGAAACGGCAACCCACTCTAGTACTCTTGCCTGGAGAATCCCATGGGCAGAGGAGCCTGGAGGGCTACAGTCCGTGGGGTCGCAAGAGTTGAACATGACTTAGCAACTAAACCTCCACTGAGGACAAAGCAAAATCCCGAGAGCAACCCCTTTCTAAAACAAAACAGTGATTTTGGTTTTATACATTAGTTGAGTAAGAATGAATGGTAGTGAGCACCCCAGCAAAAGTT